GTGTTAATGTGAACATATTACTTACATCAGAAAAAATACTTAATATCAGGTGATTAAAAACAAAATTATCAAATACTGCTTATCAGGAAAGAATTCTCTCCCATGAGGATGCTCACATCTGTATCAATGATACAGCTAAACGCCCATTTTTCTCCATAAATTTCCAGCCTGAGGTACTATGGAGTAAGTCCAAACACAAAAATATCTGTTTGTAAAGTACTGAGCAACTGTCATTCCAGACCGGGATGCCAGGAAACTCACCTCATTTGGGATGTAAATTTTCTCCAAAACCCAATATATTTTTCACCCACTAAAATTGTTGTGTCAGCCTAGAGGGTTGTTTTGTGTCTTTTTTTTTTTTTTTCCCACTGGATATCAACTGTTATTTAATTCCCACCAAGTGGTTAAAAAGAATGCTGCCATCATCCACAGTCACCTTTTCTAAAGACAAACCATAGCCCATCTCAGCTGAGTGTCTTTTACGTACATCAGACAGGATTTCAGCTCTGTAGGAAAGTTCACTCACTACAGGAATTTTAAGCTACATTTGATACACTGACCATGTAACCATATAAAATTGTTTGGAATTTCATGCTGATTTTATAGAAATTACAGTTGTTTTCAATTTTGTATGCCCATCTCTAGGTTGTTGGTTTTTTTCTTTCTGGCTTTAATCTGATTTCTTTCCCAGTTACTTTGTGGTATATTCAAGTCTACTCTTAAACCTCTTCCGAATTTCTATGGGGATGGTTTAGATAAAGTTACTGAAAAGCATAGTTTACATTTGAATTTTTAAATCAGGGGTATTTAAGACCTTGTTGGAATTTGGCCTTCCAAATTTTTCATCAACGTCTTATTAATTTAAGCATGCCTCTAAAGTAATTCTGGTAATATGAGTATGAAAAGAGTACTTCAATGAAACAATCTACATATAAGGATTTTCTCTTTCCCATCGTAGCTTGGTGACTTTTCCCTTTTCATGAATAGAGACTGAAAGAATTAAAACTCTTTACTTCAAAAGGAAGCACATAAGAATGGACTTGCTAATATAAGACAAGGAATGGTGCAGTATCAGACTGAGGAGAAGAGGCTTCCCTTAGGAGAATTTCTGACTATAGAGTTTAGTTCTTTATCATTTTCTGAAGCATCTGGTGCTACATAAAATAACACTTAGAAATTGGCACAGACAAATCTCACATGTGTGCCTGTTCATTTTTTTTTCTATTTCTGTGGGGTTTTTTTCCATTCTGAAAAGATTTTAACTTACTGTACCTCTCCTGCTGCCCTGAGGAAACCACCTTAGGGATAAAATCCTGGTTCCACTGAGTTAGCTGAAACCTTACAATTTTTGTCTTTATGTATAAAATGGCCTGCAAACATAACACAGCATAGAGAGTTTACTTCTGTTACCATTTCTCTACTGATAAAGAGATTTACCTCCTTTCAATGAATCCCCTTACAAGAACCAGCATGAACACTGAACGTCAGCTACACAGTAGAGGAACAATGAAACAAAAACATTTTCATTCATTTCATGTCTTAAAGGCAGTCAAAAATGGAATACCAGAACAATCTTTAGCTTTGGTGAGTTTTGCTGAACTTGTGTTCTAATCTTTAGACTACATTGCAGTGATTATTTTGATTTTAATACCTTCAATTACTCAGCAGCAAAGCTCTTTCCTGCAAGAAAAATGAGATTATTGGGTTAGTTTCCAGTACACAAATGCTGTTCCTGCCCAGTCTCAAAGACATTGCAGTGATGCAGAATTTCCAAAAAAAAGAAGAGCAAAAAGAAGAGGTTATTTTTTTTTTTTAAAAAAAAAAAAAAAAAGCTACATAAAGAGATCACATTCACAGCCTTGGCTGGATCCAACAGTCCTGACTGTGTAACAAGCCTGTACACACGGAGCACAGGGATAACCGTATCTGCTCCAAATTTAATTTAGCCCAACATCCTGTTGGCAAGAACCACCAGTAGCAGATGATTACAGAAAGTATAGAAGAAACAGGAAATATCTGCAGTTGGCCAAAATTCTGGTTGAACAGTTTTATTCCCTTGACACCTACTGATGGATTAGGTTCCCACCTGCAATGACATCTCCTAGTGTCTATTTACCACCCTGTCATTTCTCTTACAGTGACTGAGTACCAAGAACATACAAAATAAACAAAGACCAATATGACTACACTGTCAAATAGTGAATATAACATGAAACTTTAACAGAAATACTGAAAGAGGGAAAAATACAACTTACATTCTCTATTTTATGGATTTGTTCTTTGGTATATTCTTCAGTAATTTCCTGCTTTGGTGCTATAATTATGATATAATATAAAAGATCATTTTATTACTTAAATATAATTTATAAAATCATAATTGGAAGAGACAGTGATTGCCATTATCCACATGTCTCTTTGATCTCAAAGTTTATGTTAATTATTTATGTATAAAGCTGAGAATTAAATAACCAGAAAAGTAGTTTAGATGTTTTGATAGAGAGATTATGTTGTTCCTAAGTGTTAAATAGTCCATCAACTAGTCCATCAAAGAACTTGTGCTTTGAGAATTATGCTGAGCATAATAGGTGTTCAGGGAAAAGCTGGACATCTTACAAATTTATATATTCAGAAACACCTCGTAAAACTGTTGAAGTACTGAAATGTGTGTATTATATTGAATATTACTCAATATCATTCCTCCCGGTCTGTGAGATATTGGATACTAAATTTAAGCATGTGATACAACTGCAATGATGACACTGATAAACTAATAAACTTTCAGTGTATGATTTATCAACCTGAATAGTCTCTTTCCATAGTTTATGTACATAAAGGAAGAAATGTGAATAAAGTAGAAAAACAAGTACCCTAAACCAAAATAAAATAACCCCAGCGAGTCACTATGAATGTCACCATTTACTTCAGAAAAAAGAAATCTAAAAAAAAATGTAAAAATTGTAACAATAATAATATTGCCTTGGACAAAACCTTTTGGCATTTCCTTTTTAAAAGTAGAAGGATTTCTTACTACTGTAACTTCAGCCAACATCAGCTCACTCAAAGAAATCTCCATTCTTATTAGCATGAGTTGTTTTAAAAAGTCATTTTGAATCTCTCATTTCTTAAAATTCTATATAAATAAAAAAGTCAAATATAGATTTTTTTTTTTTTTAAACCCTCTCCTTAAGTTAAGGGCCAGCACAGGCAAAAGAGCAAGTGGATATAAACTGTCACTGAAAAAATGGGGTTTGAAATTACTACGAAGTCTGTAGCCATTAAAATAAATCAAACTCTGGAACTGCCTTCGGCAGAAACACTGGGGGCAAAGAAATAACAACTCCAATTTAGCACTGGCAAAGTTTATGAAAGGAGAATTATCTGATGCAATTCCCAGGCTAGCAGAATACTGGACTTGATGACCCAGAGATCCCTTCCACTGTTATGTTCTTTGTTTGGCTGAATGCAGATGTTCATCTGTTTTTCAGCCTCACTGTGGTTTTTCTAAAGTGAAATTTAAATGAAAGCTAATATAATTTTTGTTAGTTTCAGTTACAAATTGCCCTTTGTAAGAATTGTTCCTAGGCCTGCAGTAGGGTGGGACTTGTCAAAGAAGTCTAAAAGCTTTACTTAAAGCTGGCTTAGAGTTACGGAGAAGTGCAGAAGTATCAGTGGCCCAAGATGAGTGGCCAGCACTGCACACACCATGAGGAGAGGTAACTGCTCTGCTAAGGAAAATAGGAAATAAAAATCAACCATGCAGACTAGGACTGATGCATGAGTAATACCAAGGAGGAAAGCAAAGGAGAACAGGGGAGAAAGCAAAGGACATCACGATATAGAGAAGTAAAGGGAAGGAAAAATATGATGGATATTTAATGCCTTCTAAAAAAACCACCCCTAATTATTTTAAAATTATTATCATGTGTGATGGCTGTGAAAAGTCAATGCAAACTTGAAAGGGAAAAAATGAAATGTTTTTTTAAAGAGGAAGGTCACTGTTCAGGTGATGATCCAACACGTGCCTCTGTTGTGCCTCTCGCTCACTTGTCTCCTCCACACTGTTGGAATTTGCCTGGAGTTGCTGCCTTTGGAAGTCCCCATTTTGGAGGACAAGTCACTGGGCAGTTGTGTGGCAAAGTTCTGTCAGTGACTCAGTGTGGAAGGACACGGTTCAAACTCAGATGTAGAACTCTAAACTATTGCTGAAGACAACACTGATAATCTTTAAGCTTGAAAACAACCCAATGTTCCTTAATAACTTGCACCACCCTCCCACCTCTGCTAAATTTTTTCTTTTTTCAAGGACATATTTTTTACGTTGCAGGTAAAAACGTATCATAGTGACCACAGAGATATATATCAGGGAGATGAAAATAAAGCAGTTTCTAGAAAACAACACTAAATGTTTTCTGGGTTTGAATAAATAAGTTCTTAGAGCAGCCTTTAATGATTTTCAAATACACAGATCTTTACAGCTCCAATGAGTCATAAAAGCACACAAAGGTCAGGCAAATACTTTATCTTATTTAAGACACTGTGTGGTCTGTTTTCTATCACTCACAAGTTCTAAGGTTTAAACTCTTTCAAGGAGATGATCCTGCTACACAAGACTTCAAAATAAAGGCTTTACACGAATTCTGCGAACCTTGACGGCCGAGTAAATGTTCCAAAGGAAACCACGAGCCTCGTACATTCTAAGATCCACTGATTCCTTGAAAACAGAAAAATTTTATACTGACATCACAACTTCAGAATATACTTAAAAATTATCACCATTCAGTTTTTTAAGTGGTTTTATGCAGACATGATCACATACAGGGATTTTTTGAAGTCTAGCCCGTTTTTCACATAAATCCACACATCTTTCCTGTTTTTCAAGAACAATTGCTGCAGATTTTCAATAAACATAGAAATATTACTGAATATTAGTTCAGCTAAACCTTCTAAGTTGACTGGAGAACAACCAACCATTTTACAGCCCTTGCCATGTGCCTTTGCAGGTATTCTAGAGATCCGAACAGTGGCAGTTGGAATAGTGGCAATCAAAGGAGTGGAAAGTGAATACTTCCTGGCAATGAACAAGTCAGGAAGACTCTATGGAAAGGTATGGATGCAAACCTCTCTTTTTGTACAGTCACCCTGCAAAACCTCAAAGACACATTTTTAGATGCAGCATCAGTATGTTTTTTTTATAAAACAGATTCCTAACAAAGCAAAATGTATCCTGTACTTAGCTCACACATCCCACACTAGATTTTAAGCCCATTTAATAAATTCAATGATTAGTGCTTATTTACCACAAAATATCTAACATTCAGAAGTCAAATTTATTTATTGAAATATTAATAACACATGGGGTTTATAATGCATCTCCCATCTTCCCTAAATATTTAAAATCACTTGTACTTCTCTTACTCTATTTTATTATTTACTCTCCACAGAAAGTTTGCAACGAGGACTGCAACTTCATCGAACTGATTGAAGAAAACCACTACAACACATACGCTTCTGCAAAATGGACACACAAAGGAAAGGAGATGTTTGTCACACTAAACCACAAGGGGGTTCCAATGAAAGGTAAAAAAACAAAGAAAGAACACAGAGCGTCCCACTTTCTTCCTCTGGCAATATCCTAATCACAAATGATCTATAAAGAACTAGTTCCAGCAGGAAGATTAATTTTAAGAAGACTATTTGACAAGATATCAAGAGAGGCTGGAATACTACTGAGAAACTGAACAAGCTGGACTTGCGCATTTATGTTTATTTTTAAGAGACTACATGAAAAAGATTTGAAAATATACACAAAACCAGATTTAGTAACTAAAAGTTGTAAAAAATTCTAAAGAGTTGTACAATCATTATCTTAGTCATTGTAACTGGGTAGTTTCTTAAATTAATTTACCCTGAAGAATAAGTCATTACTTGATTATCTGATAATATTTTATTTAAAAAAAACCTATCTGCTTCTTAAATATGGCTGCTATAATAATAATAAGCAGATGATAATGTTGTGTAAAATATGTCAGACTTTAAGGCTGCTGGAATGAGTTGTCAGATTATCAAGTCAATAGAAAATGTGGAGGCTGAGCAGTATTTTAAATACTTCCCCCAAGAAACTGATATCCTATACATAAACTATATGATCAGAAAAAAAAAATATAATCTTGTAAATGTTTATTGTTGTATTCAGATAAAAGAGTTAGTTTGGAAAAATTAAGTTTACTCTAACACAAAATGTTCCTATCTATTAATGAAACAAATACCTAATGCTGCTCTAAAAGATGTTTCAAATAGTGTATGTAAAATACAAATAGGAATAAATAATGTACTTCATCTCACTTTTCACAAATTAACATTTTATATAACGATGAAGCAAAAATTCAGACATATTAAGGTTTTTTATGTAACATATCCTATCTTTTGTATAATTCCTGTTAGGGCATACAGCTTTCAATATTATTTTTCCATCCTTATACATGCTTTTTCTGTTGTTACAGCATTAAACTTTATTTGAAGTTGTATTTGAACTTTATTGTTTTAAGTTATTTAAATGTTATTTATAAAAAAAAAAAAAAGATACTTATTAAGCTGCATCTGTTTCATATGCTTTTAATTCTAAAGGAATAACAAAATGGTCTGGCTGAGATGCACGAATTTTTTTCTGTGACCAGACACAAAGACTAGTACACAACCCTCCTGCCAACATACATTGGATGGCAGACAAAAATGACAGCCTGCAGCAAACCACACAATAGACATCTCAAAAGAAACAATGCAAAAATCTGAAAAATCTCTGCCACATACTCGTGCTGATTGAAGGCTCAGAGTTATGCCAGGTAAAAGAAGGCAGCAGTTGCAGCAGGTAATGGAAATAACCCTCAGCTGGCAGAGGCAATCCCCTCAGCTACAGAAATATGCACGAGCCTGTAAACTGCAGCTAAAATCAGAGTGACCTGCTGAAGAAAGGACATCTTAATTTTCCAGCTATTAAAGTGTTCAGCTAAGCCCTACATGACTAATACATTATATCATTCCATTCTGCTCAGTTTTCCCCTCATGTTTTCTTGTGTGATAATTGCACTTAGATAAAGATCACCAAAAAATTAGCTGAAGCATCTGCCAGATGACTGGGATACAGTCAAGTTGATTAATAATGGTCTTAAATGCCCTATGCTGCATTACAAGTGTTTAGAGTCAACCACTTTTTCCTACAGGAAACACTTTCTTTTTAAGAGCATTCACAGAAAACGGCAAAAATTCACTTTAACAAATATTTCTTTTTCTAAAAAAAATGCTTGTCTAACAAATAGTGTAACTTGAAAATCGATTGTGATATTAGGAAGTCAAAAATCAAAGAAGATATAAAGAGATCCATGCAGGAAAATGTGTCAGTACAGCTGTATCAGCAAACCTTCCCTGTGCTCTTGCTGGTTTATCTATCACGTGTTCCATGATCTCCACATGATCAGACTGTACTATGAAAAGCTTTTTTGCTAATAACTGTCTGCACTCCTTTCTGTGAATATATAAACATGAAACCAAGTTCACACTCATGATCAACATTAACACACCAGTAGAAGTTTCTACACCTAAACTAGGTTAGTTGAAACTCTTGAAATAAAAATGAAAATAACATTAAGATGGTGCTTAAAAGCTCTACTGGAGTTTGAATTAAAATGTAAGTACACATTAATATGTGAATATATACGTAAAAACCCCTTAAGATGAAAACCAGATGTAGACAAGCTCTTTTAAAAGATCTTTTGATTATGTAATCCAAGGATATAGAAACACAGTCATCCAATTCCTGAGCCCCAGCTGTAATTAGGCTTTACTGCTGACTGCTTTCCCTAATGAATCCCTGTGTTCCCAGCATTTCCAGGTAAGCCAAGGCTGCTTTATGTTTTACAGCTGTCACAACTGAACAGTGTCCTGAGAGGGAACTGCTCCCAGACAGACACCTGACTGCAAAGGGTGCAGATCTTCAGTACCGCAGTCATACAGCCTTAAAACTGAACAATTTTCAGTGCAGGTTTATCTCTTCTGAAATACTTATTTTTAACTCAAGGGAAAAAAAGTCAGTTTAATGCTAAAACTAGAAAATAGTAATCAGGAAATGTAAAGCAATGATCTACAGCAGCGAACTATTAAAAGACAAGGGTAATAATAAGACTATTAGGATTTAACAGATATTCAAATAGATGTCAGAAATCCTCACAAAAGCCTATTACATCAATTACATCCCAATTTAATGTTAACATCAACGTGCAATATACCATGTGGGAGGAAAACATGGTATATTGTGTGAAAAGAAACAGATAATCCTGTCTAGATATGGCTCATTACTAATCTTTATAATACTAAAGGTTCAAGTAAACTCAAACAAAACGGTAATAAAAGCCAACCTCAGCTGTAATTTCTTTGATTTTCCTCCAGAGGCATTGGCTTTCATGCAGCTTTTTGCTTTGTCTTCCACCAACACTACCCAGTGTGCCCAGACTGGGGGTGGGGAGTAAAATACAAGCTCTGAGGGTCAAGTAGCACCTACACCAGCCACTCACATTTCATGGGAACTGTCCCATTACACAGGCTCTTTAATTTCAATTAGCAAGGTTCTACTTAATTACTTATCTTTTGCCTTAGTGCTGATGAACACTCTGGGACACAGCAATGGGCAAATCTCACCTGAGGAATCTCCCAGAGGGCTGCAGGATCTCCACTCATGGAGGTTCCCCAGGTCTGACTGGACAAAGCCCCACACAACCAGTGTGGGCCCTACTTTGAGCAGGAGGTTGGACAAGAGACCTGCAGCACTCTGCCAACTGAAGGAGTCCAGACTCCACAGGAAAGTTGTTTTGCTTGAAACAACTACACAAAACACATTTTCCACGCTAGGGGGATAATTACACATTTGTCTCATCGCTTGTGTGTCATTAAAGGTATGCAAAATGGTGTAAATACACAATAATAAATGACAATTGGACAATATCCATGACTTTTTAAAACACCTGATATGGTACAACACGGTCTCACTTTTAGTTCTGTTGCAAGTACTTTAAAACACTGCTCTGCACAGCATCTGTAATAATCAGATTACTACATGATCCATTAATTATTAAAATACACTTGTCTGTGTTTAAAATTACTTTTTGAAGAAAACATGTATATTCTCTTTGAATAAGCTGAAGCAAAATGTAACTTAATATTAAACCAATAAAGTAATGAGAACCACAGTATTTCATTGCACTCAACGACCAGTATCTGAGTAGTCTAAATATTTCTAAGTCTAAATAAACAAGCCTAGGATATCTGTCTGCTCACTACTAACTTTTCAAAAACCATAGTAATTTCATAACATATGAAATACAGAAAATAAAAATTACACGTTAGATAATTTCCCCCAAATTAGGAAAACAGCCACCATCAGAGTTGAGATCCATACTTAGAAATAATAATGTAGTTTTTTTGGAGCTAATATTCATTAGCAAAAAAAAAGGAAATTCAACTGTTTACATCACTGGATGGTTTTTAAAAGGTAATAGTCACATTTACTTCAAACAATGGAGATTTGTTCGCAGAAAAAAACCTAAATTCCTTCTGCTGTTAGTAGCATAATGCTGAGAATTAGAACTGCATTTAAAGCAGAACTCAGACAGGAAAATATTCAAGGAGTTTCATACAGTTTTTAACATGACATTTATATTAACTTTAATAATATTTCCACAGCAAAACTACCAAAAAAGCTTTTTGACGCCATATATTGAAATTCATAGTCTGACATAAAAGAAAACTGCAGAATTTAATTATAAATATTGGGGAGGGGGGTGAGGGAGGTTAACACAGCATTAAAGCTACCAAGTGTTAAGTCTTGAGCTCTGTAAATAACTTCACAATAAATACCTGGCTGAGGAAAGCTGGCTTGTAAATCTCAAGCATTCCAGACACTGAAATTCCATAACTGCTTACATTCCAGACCTAAAATGGGAGATTTCCTTCAATTCTGTTTGGAAGGCAGATCCCAGCTTACCAAGGTTTGTTGTTTCATTAAGGAAACCCTTTCATTTAGAGGCCTGGCACTTCAAAAGGATGTCTCTTGACACAGAGGGGGAAAAAAATACTCACTTCAGATGAAATTACTTCCTCATGAGAAAAACTATTTCCCTCCAGTGCTAAGCAGCAAAGCAGAGGAGTTAGAATGAAGATGCATAAACTTGTCACATAAAGGTTACAGTGTATTCAAGCTGGATCCAATATCAAACAAGAACCATCCCTTTTACAATCATTTCTCAAACAGTGTTTTAGTGCAGGTGGGTAAAGACCTGAACACTGAGCTTTCTTCAGTGCAGTGCAGATCT